AGTTTAATCATACATATTGATATTGTGTTTTCTGTTTTGCGAGAAACTAGTACCAATATAAGAGTTTGGAAAATAAATATTATTTCTTTTTGTCTATTGCTGATGTCGACTGATGTTTTGTTGAAAGTGATGTCTTCCTTTTCCTTACATTTTTAATTACTTTTGCTTCCAAGTTTTGCAACCAAAGATGTTGAGTTTGCATTTCCTTCTATGCGAGAATCTGATTGTAAAAGTTTTTTCATGAGTTTTGTATATCCGCCGGCAAGATTCCCTTCCATGTTTCATCAATCACTTTAGTGTAAACTTTCAGATCGTAAGATTTACAAAAATTTTGAAATACTTTATGTAAATTTCTATTTATTTTCTGCTCCATATGTAATGATTTTAATGATTGAAGAATTGTGTATGCGCTAGGTGGAAAAAACAATATTTCGAAGTTGTCATTTTGCATGTCATCTTCAAACTCCTTGTACAGTTTGGTGAGTAATATTACTTTGCCGATTGTTTCTGTTTTCTGATGATGGTCACTCACAAGGTTTATGAAGACATTATTGTACCAATTTGACATGATGTCATTTTCCCATCCATCTCCTTTTTTCTTAAAAATGACACTTTCCTCGTTTTTCAAATACTTTTTAACTGTTTCATGTTCATATTCATAAATATAATAAGGTGGTAATTTATGACTACCTGTAGCATTTGTACAAAACACAATATATAGACGATCATTTTTCAATTTTTCTATATCAATTTTGTTCTCATCTTGGTGTTGAAAATTCGCACGTTGAAAAAAAGTTTTAAATTTTATAGATATTCGGTTCATATTGTAAATATTATCTCTTTTAATATTTTTTTCTTGCAATTGATGGTGTAAATCTTGAATAAAAATTTTATCGCTGTCTAATTCTTGTTTAGTTTTATCAGTATCTCGCGTCAGATTTTGCGAAATCTTAGATAAATTTGGAGATTTATAATTAGTAGATTCTTGTTGATTTTCTTTCATGTATTTTATCAAGAAATTTTTTTTTCCTTTATGTTTTGACGACTCACCAATCTCGTGCATAACTTGAGTTTCTTTAGTCTTAAATAGCTGTTTGGAAAAGTCGAGACTTTGTGAATTTTCAGATAAATTTGGAGATTTATAATTAATAGATTTTTGTCGATTCTCGAAACGTTTTAGATATGCACGCAACAGTCCTGTTCGTGCCCAAGGGTTTAATGGCCAACCTAACTTATGCATAAGGATTTTTCCTGTATGCATAAATAGTTGTTTGGTAAATTTTTTCGATTCTGTGGTCTTTAGATACCAGTTATGCAATGCATGTTCTAATGGTTCATACTTTTTTCTTATATGTTTTTTCATTAAGTTCATTTCTTTAGTGGCCAATTTTTTTATCTCATTTGCATCATGTTTAATTCTGTAAAGTGTACTTAAAGAGATGTCATACTCATCAATAATTTGTTTTTCATTGATCGAAGTATCTTTTTCTAATTTATCTAAAATTTCTATTTTTTTTTTAAGCGGAAGGAAGATTCGTTTTTTGGTTGACATTATAAATTTTATTTAAAATTATTCCCTCACTTTACTGACTTTATAGATACTTTTAAATCTTTTGGCACACGATATGAAAGGCCGAATATAATACTGGCAACTAAAAGTTGTTATAGTTGGTTGTTCTTGAGAAGATATACTAACGATCACAAAACATAACATAAACAAAATATAAACAGTATCTAACAATCGTATATCAATTCTCTAATTTTTTCATTTTTATGTTTATCATTTATATATTAATATTCGCTAAAACATTATATTGTTTATAATTGACAAGGTTTATAAGACGATGAAGTTAATCGCAAAAAATTGTGAGAAAAATTGTTTAAGAGAAACATGTATTATCCTGTAAATATAAAAGATTTTATTAATCTTTCCATTAATTAAAAATCATTCTTAGAGAGAAAAATATAAATTGATTATTTATTTTTTCATTAAAATGTAATGAAATAGATACTTTGTATATATATGTATATACATATGTATATAGGCATGATATGCCCTGGTGCTCGAATCGCGCACTCACGTTTATATTTCGAATAAAATATAAAATCTCAAACAATGTATGTTAAAAAACGTAGGTTTTAGATTATACAATTTGAATATAGGGAACATACCAAATTTTTATACTTCGATGAAATTCGTTTAGATTTAGGATTTGCGTATAACTTTTCTAAATTATACACGTTATAAAAAGTATTTCAGGAAATAAAAGAATCTTAACTCTAGTATTGATTACATTAACTCTAGTATTGATTATTTTAACTTTAGTATTGCAATTTAATAGATTACAATTTAACTTTAGATTACAATTTAACTTTAGATTATAATTTAATAGCACATAATTTATTTGGATAATTGTATTAATCTCAAATGAGTTTAAAATTTTTTTCATTTTCATCATTTTTTAGATTCTTTTAAGGTATTGTTATATGCTTGGCATATTTTTTTATAAAGTTGCAAAGTTTCTTTTTATTGAGATATCACTGTTTTTTGTAAAAATTTATATTTAATTATATTTAAATAGTACATTGAATGATAGATTTTATATAATAAATTTAAATATTTACTGATTTTGTTCAAACTGGTCACAATCGAAAGCTTTCATCTACATTATACAAAAGTACGATTAGATTCATGATTACGGCTTTAGTTCATGAGATATTTTAATCGAAAGTTTTATTTGACGTAAAGTTCCGAATAAGCTATTTGATAGCAACTCGATATATTGAAAGCAGTGATTCTCAATGATTGAATCCAATTCTTATACGTATGTGCTTGACGTTGCTACCGCGTAGCTTGATAAGCAAAATAAACGCATTAAATCGTAAAAATATAAACTTGAATGCCAATTGGAATATAGAAAAAGCTAATAGTAAAAGGGAACAGAACATTTTTAAAAAAACTTACTGTATGCTAGAATAATAACTTATATTACAAATAGATGTTAATTAAAAAAAATTATTCGCATAGTTTTATCTTACTGTAATTATTGAAAAATTAATTTATTTGCATTTCTTTCTTCTTTTCAAAACATAAATATTATTGCTTATGGAACATAGATAAAAAATTATCTAAACTACTCTCGCGTATAGTGACGCTTGTCTTATTCTAAAAACAGGTTTATTCTGATTTTTCAGTACTTCGACGAGAATCTTGTTCTTCTCTTTCCGGATTCGCATCCGAATCGCGGACAGAAACCAGCTAGAAGATTATAAGTCAAAAGATGTAGGTCGCGTATTCTCGCATTTATAAATTTGTGAGGTAAATTAGAACGGCGTTAAGTAAATATCTATTATATTTCCAGAAGTAGTCGTCTGCAAAATATTAAATGAAAATTGTTAGTAATGAAACATTAAAAATATTACATAATCTAATTATATATTTTATTTTTTATAAAGATGAATATTTCCAATTTTACTATTCTTCAATTTTTTAAGAGTATTTAAGATTTTTTATATAACACTTTTGGAAATTTCAAATAAAGCAGAAAATAAATGCGCTTCTTCGTAATTCAATTTTGTATCCTTATTCTAAGGACTTGAAATAGAAGGAACTACATATGACTATGAATCAACACGCATAGAGAAACTACATATGGCTTTCGGGACGCTCGATTTCTAAAAGACTACGGTAGACATCTAAAAGATAAGGTAGATATCTTTCAATAAAAAAAGGAATAAAAAGAAGTGAGAGGGGAAGGTGGGGAGAATGTTCGGCGGCCTGACGAATGAAAGTGGAACGCGAGTTATTCTCTCGGATTTTCCTTTAATCGTGCTTCGATTCTTAATGTCTACAGATTAAAAAGGAGCGCAAACACTAAGATTGTTACTATAAAGCTCTGAGAAGATTCTGCGGCGAAAGTCTTTCACTAAAGATAGCTGATAGAACGTTAACATTTCTGTGATTACTACATATACATATCCTACATCGGTCAAGCATTTCTACGAAATTAAGCGTGATCTCTGTAAAATGATTTATTATCACTTGAGACAATTAAAAAAGAATCAGGAAAGAGATCGATAATAGAAAAATATCAATTAAATACAAGTGTGTAAAAGTAACTATAATGTAAAGATAAAGATAATAATATAAGAAATAGAAAAATAGATATAATAGAATAAATAGAAAAAATACAAAAAATGTGACGAACAAAATATTTTAGATTGTTGTAATTGTTTTGTTTTAATACGTGATTCGTTTCTTTTGATAAACTTCCGTTATATTAAGTGATCAATAAAGAATTTCTCGATCTTTATTAAAATCATCATTATATATTGTATAAAACATAAAAAGAGAGTTCATGATTGTAATTTATAGTTATTGCTATAAGAATAGATACTTCTAAAAGATCAATCGTTTTAATCACGTTAATCAATGTTCATTCAAGCCATCTAATTGTACTTTCAAAAGTGTATAATAATTAATTAGTCTTATTATTTCATGAAGATAATTATCGATTGATGTCGATCATAAGAATATATGAAATATTATCCAGAAAGGTTAGTCAGTTTTTGATCTCATTTCCTTGATACATAGGAAAGTGCAACGTCGTATGTGAAATTATCAGATTTTTCTCTTTATATTATTATAATATTTGTCTTTATTCTTATGTTATTGAAAAATTAGGTTTTGCACAAATTATATCTAATGGTTTAATTCTTCTGTATATTGTAACGATCGTAAATCTCTTACACTAAGATAATTTAAATGTGCGATGATTTCGTCATAATTTATATCATTTTTAATTTATATCATTTTTCGCAAATTTCCAAGCCTATCTATTTTAAACATTTTATAAAAGAAGAGATAGTCAGAAAATGTTATATACATACGTGATGATTTATATCATGTCTTTGTCCTGTTTTAAGCGTCAGTCATTCACACGTTATTATATCTTAAACTCCCACACAAATGTGATTTAATCAGTGAAATATATACTCAGTTAAAATTTTCTCACAATGTTTACTGACAAAAGTTCTTCATACAATCGACTCTACATACAGTATTGTTGATCGCAATCATTTTTTCGCGAGAGTCATGCCTGAAATACAATATATTCGAAAACGATGGTCTCGAGTAATAACGATAGATAAATCGTTTCAAAGAACAGAAACGATATCGTAGAAAAGACAGTAAGATAAAAATATCTAATAAAATAATCAACTGACAGTGGTGGGGCTTTAATCGGTTTTCTAAAGCGGCTGTGATATTTTTTAATATTATAATGAATATTATATCGCTGATATCGCAATTTTTGAGCGAATTCGCACCGTTCATCGAAGCGAAGAATAAAAATAATGGCGTGCGATATAATCAATAACCAATCGCCGCCCCAGAACGCGTCGCGAAAGACTAGAACGATTAAGAATAAACACGCCTGGCGCGATTGGAAACATAAGACATATGTATATATATACTTTTAACAACAATTAATAGTGATAATTATTATTACAGTGTTACAACGAAGTGATGCGGCTCGACATGCTTTTTGATTTCCGGCGAACATAATGCTAATATTTATATCTATGTAATACATATAGCGCGAGGAATACAATATATACAAATGTTACGACGCAAAATTGAGTCTTCTTGTATTTTCAAGATACAAGGCGAATAAAATTTTTCTATAATCGGAATAATAAAGAAGAGTATTAAGATAGATCTATATAGAAAATAATATCCGCTATTATTTTCCGAACAATATTTGAGTTCTTTTCCCTACGATAAGATTGGAAAATAATTTATAATGAATATTATGTAATGTATAGCACAATATCCTCCAAAATGTGTGCAAATACATGTGAAACGATTATTTCCGTTTAATGAAATAGTTTTTATTTATAAATAATATTAGAAGAAGAAATATCGAAGAATTGATAAATGGAGCGTCATGTAACTAATTAAGGACTATTTACGTAATACTATACTAAATGAAATACTTACACACATCTTTATAAACTCTCGTTACGCTTTAGTGTCTTGGTTATATATATATATTTTTTTTATTTTCGTCATTTATCACAGCATCACGCGTGTAACAATGTTTTGTGTTCTGCGTCCTGCTTATACTTGTTCAACCAGAGAAAAATCACATAATTAATTATGTATTATATGGATGCTTCAACGTATCGTAGAACCATCTAATAAGGAAGATTTATTTTTAAATACATAATATCGCATCATGACACTTTACAGTTGTACAACAACATCGAGACTCATCCACACATATTGGATAAATTTAGAAATTTGTGGACGGAATGCCATTCTTACGCGTATATCGATAAATCATTCGATTTAACTGATATTTTATTCTTCATCACGTTCTTGAGCTGGCAAATTGAAAATTTCTTCTGAATATATTTCTAAATGTATTTCGATTTTTTTACGCGTCAATCATACAAATATATTTTGCATAAAACCAATCAATCAGAATTTAATCCAATGATATGATCTAATTTTTTCACCTTTTTTTCTTTTTCACTCTCTCTTTTTTTCTCTTTTTTTCAGTCAGTGCACTCGGAAGCGAAACTCTCTAGATCCACATAGTGTCCATTCATGTTGTCCTCCAGCAGTTGAGCGAGATCCCTACGTAAGGTCTGGAATTCCGGCCTACGATCAGGATCAGCGTGCCAACATCGGGATATCACCCTGAAGAGTTCGCTTCGGCAGTGCGAAGGCCTCTCCAGACGATAACCGTTGTGTACGTTCCGCATGACTTCCCGCGCCGTCATATCCGGGTACGGTGTTGAACCTGAAGAGATAGTGCAAGATGGTTTCGATTATGGGATATCAATACGATAGGAAGTTACCATGTCGATTCATGGATTAGACGTACATTGTTCTAACAAGATACAAACTGCTCCATAGATAATACGTGACATTGTTGTACGAAATCAATTTTTTATTGTCGTATCAATAAAAAAAACGCATTATAAAAATGTATAATAATATTTTATATCTTGATCGAATCTTGCTAATGTTATTAATTAAAGAAAGTTAATAAATGAGTATATTTAATAAATAAAACGGTGAAAATACAATTCTACAGTAAATAATAAAAATCGGTTATATGTTTTTAATATCTGTTTTGCAACATTTATGCACAGATGCTATTAGTGCAAACATGTCCGTGAACGTGTATTTACTTATTTTTTTACCTTATTTTCATATCAAGGAACAGCGAGACAATAAACGGACTCTCGGATGTCGATAATATTTATTCCGTCAACAAGCTACTCGAAAATCAAACTACTCACCTAGAGTGACGATTTCCCACATCAGAATCCCAAAACTCCAAACGTCGGTCTTCATCGTAAAAAGAGAATAGATCAATGATTCGGGGGCCATCCATCGGATTGGTAAGGCATTTCTTCCATGCCTGGTTTCGATCACTTCGCCGTCTTCGTTGGCGAACCTCGACATGCCAAAATCAGCAATCTTGCATAGCTTGTTATGATCCACGAGGACATTTCGGGCGGCAAGATCCCGATGGATGATCTGCATACAGAAAGAACAAGATCATCGATAAACAATCGATGTTGAAAAGATGTATTCCATTATTAGATTGCGATTACGATCTGATCAGGAAATTACAGTGCGATATTACGCGTACTTGCTACTTGAATATAACAAGTTATTTAAAAAAAACTTGACCTTGAATTCGAGTTTCATGCGCGACGAAACGAGATTCGGCGCCGTGCCTGCAAATATTATTTCAGCGACACGGGCCAGGTACTCCTTGGACCTAATAAATCTAGCAATCCGTCGATGCATATACGCAAATACTACTGGAAAATAAGTAAGGATTTCTGGAAAGAATAAATAAACGAGAACATAAATTTCGCTGTCAGGTCACGTGTGTGTAATAACAGCTGCAAGAGACATCTGCGTTTGCTTAATTGTTAAATACAAAAAAATAATTCAAACAATTCGAACGCAAAATCGTTCAAGTACCTTGTAATTTAACCGTCAATTATGATATTTGTACATTTTGTGTCATGATTGTGCATAGCTATTATTATTATTAATTAACCATTATATCTTCCTGCACTGTTTTGGCCAAATGAAATTTTTGCTAAACAGCAAGTCCGAAAGCCACGAAGAAAGAAGAATCTACATAATAATTATTACACGCAACGACTGAATGATGCAAACACGTTGTTATGAAACAACGAGCTGCATCAGCTGCGCCTGCCGCATTGAATTTGAATGCAGAGGCGCATCCAGAATGCATCCACGCACATCCGCAGCTGGTGCGCGCACTATCATTTAGCCCGCGCATCTGTATGTAATTGTCTATTAAAACCGAGAGACTAATTTTTGTTTTCTAGAAGCTATTATACAGCGGAAACTGGTAATTCGACATTTGATCGAGTGCTTACGAGAGAAGTTTTGGTTCTTTATTCCTTTAATTGCCGTTAATCATCAGGTATATTCTACTTGGAATGGCATCCTTGAAATACGCGTCTTTCGTAGATCCTGCGCATCTTTTCTTTTCCTCTTTGTTATACATAAATCGAGAAAACTTTTGACGAGAATGTTAAAACAAACAAATATTTATTTCGCGTGTTTAGATCTCTCATTTTAATCGATGATGTATGATTGAACGTAATTGACACATCGGTTGCGTGCAATTTTCGTCTCAACTGTTTATGCGAAACGATAGAATATCGGGAAATATCACTATCATTATAAACATTATGTTAATTTCTATTTATTATGCAGCTGCTTACTTCAATTCTAAATATATTTTTAAGAATCACACAATTTAATTATCATATTATCAAGAAAAAATATAATTTATAAATCATCTACATGTATATATATATATATATAAACAGAGAAATATATTTAATACATACAATAATTTAACTTTATTTTTTAATAGTGATTAATTAGAAGAAACGTAAAGAGAATCAGGAAAAAAATGTATTAATAATTTATTAATATGTTAATACTTATATGTATAAAGTAGAAAAAATACATATATAAGAAAAATAAGATTACTTTTTTTTAAATTATGGAAATAAAAACGTTCTGTAGGCTAAATATTATGTTTTTTTGATAACATACAAATAATATAAAATTTTTGTATTTAATGTAACATATTCTTTAATTGATTCAATTCTAATTTAATAATTAATTTAATATTCCATTCTAAATTTCCAACAAAATTAAGTAAATCATGTAAAAAATAGATTATTGTTCAAATATATCCTTGAGAGTCGTTTACTGTTCTCAAATCGGATGAAGAAACTGAGCAAATATTTCCAAACTCGTTCTTTACGAGAGATAAAATTCAATCTTTGCCTAGTGACACAAATCTTTAAGCGGGAACGATTCTTCAACAAACGCCATGGTGGAAGTTTTACGACTGTGCGAAAATGTTTGAGATTAAACATCATTAGCGGGTTATTTGTCGAATAGTCGTTGCTCTCCGCGACCTTCCACAGAAAATTAGATATCCTTGAAAGATTTTCACTTCCCAAATGTTGTAAATGAAAAAAAATTATACTACGTTTTTTATCAATTTTTATATATAGTCAATTTTTAAATATGGAAAGAGATTTCAGTTTCTCTTTCACATCAAAATAATCTGCTTCACAATAAAAAAAATAATCCCTAAAAATATTCTATCAAATTTCTCGAAATTGCAAATGTCACCATTTATTGTTCATTGTGCAAATCGTGCAAAATTATTTCTTTCATGGTAGTGAGAACAAAAATAATAAGATACACGCCAGATGATCCAGTTGCTGGAATGCTATAATTATCCACTATTACATGCGTCAATTCTTATGTCACTGCAACTGCAACTTTACTAATCTATGTATTTTTAACTGCGCAAGACAAAATTATTCACTATGTATCACAAATGCAAATTAGATTAGTAATAATTGATCATAAAAATTGCAAAGTGTATGATACATGCACCAATCTCATAAGCAATAAATGTCCATGATTTAAATTACGGTACATCTTTACAGGAAACCTCGAGCTATAAAAATATAAATATGAATGACGAAGTTAATGATACGCAAAAAAATGTTAAACAAGATATATAATTACAACAATATTATTAAATGTAATAAAAATGTATTATACGTTAACTTGAAAAATAAATGCAAACTCGCTTTGTTATATATTGCAATTCATTAAAAACATTTTTTTTGTTTCGATTGTAAGGCATCAAAACTATAATTTTTTCTAAATTTCTCCGAATGCAAAACTCGAAGCTCAGATATTCAACGTCTTCTTGTATATAAAGTGTTGTAAATTTATTCGTAAATATATATCCAAACTTATTTCTCAACGAACGTTTAGGGCATGTCTGAAGGATTAATCGGTCGCACGATATCGCTTTTACGGCGGACCCGTTAATCGCGTGGAGATTAACGAGGGGGCCTTCATCAAAACACTTTAAATGACCGCAGCGCATCGATCCTCAAGGTGTCGGATTAAAATTTATCGCGACTTCTTTCTTGTCGTGTTCAACAGTCTCAGTCCCAATCCTGTTCCGTCCTTTTGGCGGTATCGAAGCGCATGTCACCGAAAAGAAAGAAAGCAAGAAAGTTGCGAGGACCGAATCGCTAAGCGATCATCAAGTGGTTAGTCTTGAACCGACTTTTTTTGCAGCAGGACAATTAGTTGAGTCGAGAAACCTAGAGGTTCTTCGATTCATAAATAAATCGTGTACAATAAAAGAAAAATTAATTAACATGCTATTACACGTTGACGATCTCACAAGGTGAAGTTAAGGGTCGACATCATTATTACAATGTATCAGCGTAATAAGCAAGATTTTATTATTTTTGTATACCACTATGATGGAAGAGATATTTTTCCTTGATGGATAACAATTAGTTATATCAAGACCTTGCGAACTTTTAGTTTATATGTAAACATGTCGACCATGCATAATGAAAAAGAGATAATTAATGATATTACACATTAATGTCCTAGCGATGTTGGATCATCGAGGGGAACAACATAATATCATCAAGGTCGGTTACCGGTTCATTGGTATAATAATCGATAAAACAGGAAATTTTATCTGTTATTCTTATGAGATATCTTTCATTAACAAAATAAATAAGTTTTTATCTCTGTCTATAAATATAACATAAGAGTGTTAAAACTTATCGGCAATTCATAACATTAAAAAGATTTGCTTTGTAATTTTATCTTTAAAGAAACATGGAAAATCAGTTAAATCTCGTTGAAATTAATTATTTATTTATATGAAACTGTCCCGAACATAAAATATAAAATATAAAAAAATAGATTCCGTACCTTCTTCGATGCGAGATACTCCATGCCTCTGGCCACGCAATATCCGAAAACCGTGAGATCTCTAGATGTCAAGGCTGCTGAGTCCTCGCTAAAGTTGTAGAAGTACTGTCTCGTGCGGTGATCACGCAGATACGCGAGCAGCTTGCCGTACATGACGTACTCCAATATAAGATAATGAGGCTCTGTAATCAGAAAGAAATCACACGCTGTATTCTTTATATTTATTCATGTAACGGCGCATTGGAGCGTATCGCTCTTGCGTTTCGAATAAAATAAAATCTCAGTCAGCAGAAGAATAAGTCTTATTCGTTACACAACCTGTTTCTGAAGAATAAATCTTATTCACCGTACAACTTGGGTATTTATATGAGTAATGCGAGCTTTAAAAAGTAATGAGCGTAATATTAAGAGTACATATTTCTGTAATGAGTACATGGATTGATGTTTGAATGACAATTTGCCATTTGAGGCATACTCTCTGTTGCATTTCAGCAAACAGAAAATATTAAATATTAAATACTACATTTTCGAAAGATGTTAATAAATCACATATTTGAATTATAAATATGAACTTCTGCAACAACGTATACAATTTTTTATCATTAATGTCATAGACTCTTATGTCATATATTATTCCTCATTTAAGTAAAATTTTGAAATTTGTACAAGAGCATCACTTAAATTAAATTACATTTACAAAATGGAGTTTATTGAATTAATAAAAATTAAATTCACACATCGAATATAAATCAAGAAGCACATAAATGGTTAAAAAAATTATATCGCGAGACTGTGAAAAGAAATATTCAACGAAGTAATTTAAATGAAAGATTTACTTGAAAGAGTTCTTGCTCGAGTAATGTCAACTTGATTGTAACTTATGGAACCACTTTTGTCGGCGCATCGCCATCGCAACTCTCGTATTAGGTCAACATCGCTACCCTTTAATAATTCTCGTTCGCCAAGTAGTACATGCTTCTCGTGTTCGGATTAATTTCATTTCACGTTAATATGTTTTTCAGAGCGAATTAAACATGACATAATGTTTATAACGTTTGTTTCGCATGTATTAAGTCGTACGTGATTAATCGTGATTATCTTAGCAATTTAATTTCAATATCATAGTGAAATAGCTGTATCATGTCGTGTTAAGTTTGCTGATTTAAAAATATTGACGTAATAATTAATAATTATATTCGATGAAGAAGATTGCTACCTGGTATTTCTGTACAAAGTAATAATTTGTTTAAAAAAAATTATGTATAAAATTATTCTTAAAAAAGCAAATTGCATAGCCATTGTATAGAATTTTTTTCACTGCTATTTTATATTCATTTATGATCAATATATAATTATTATTTTTTAATAATATAGAAATGTTAAAGATGTTAGAGATTTTTACTATTTATTTAATATTTACTATCAATGAAATTTAGATGTTAATTTAGAAAATTGTAATTGAAAAAAATTAAAAGACAATCTTATATAAAATAAAATAATTTCTTTCTGAAAGAAAAGTGCTAGAATATCCATTTTTTTCATCAACGTGTAATATATTAAAAGCTTATTGCACATACATGCATTGAATTCGCGCCAGTTTTATATTGTAATTTTTCTCCATGCAAAAATCACGAATCCACGCCTATGTCGATCGATATGGCACGCGTGTGATACAATAACCGTGACGAATGCAAAGCAATATGAGTACACGACGGTGATACGCGAGTTGCTATCGTTCTCGCTTTTATGTAAATCATATTTCGCATGTACAATAATGGTTGAATACGCAGAATAATATGCCTCAAGCGGCGAGAAGAGAGTACGAATCAAAAACGAGAAGAATATATTCACCCGATGCTTTGAAAGGACGAAGACCGAGAATTGAGATGTCCTTTTGGATTAGAATCTTTTTTCCCATCTTACGTACGTCATATGCAAATCATCTTGAGAAAGAAAGACGGTGGATTGTAAACAAAATTACAACGCGATAATATTTAGAAATCTTCATTTATCAACAGTCTTAAATATAATATATATAATAGGTATGGAAACAATTAATTTTATCAAACGTTGTAAATTTTATTCGCTAAATAAAAGACAAGATATTAAAAAGCCTTGAATGAAATGTGAAGTATCATAAAACGAATCGTAAAGCAAAAAATGTTTAAGCTTGCGAAATGTTTTATCTGTATGAAAAATTTACACCAAAAAAGAAGAAACATCACGTTCTCAAACTCGCAGATTTTAAAGAATGCCGCTCCTTAATGTGGCTCCTACTTTATTTTGTACATTGCCGCGTCCACGAAAGCCGATAAATAAGCCGAAACTCGATTAACAGTAAAGAAAAAAACGAAAAATGGCCAAATAACAGAAAGCCATTTTTATTAGACGAGAATCGTTTTTATTACACTGAGAGAGAACTTTTGTACGAAAAAAGAATTCCCCAACGCAATTGTTTTTATCAAACAAATATTTGAGACGTGCATCATTTAACATATAATAAACATTGAAAAAATATTATTATTTAAATATTTATATTTTTATACGAAACATAAGATTGCTTTTTAATAGTCAGAAGTATAAAAATTCGTCGAATTTGTAATTTCGATTATTCGATTCTCCAGCCGCTAATAATTCTCTTAGTGGCCGAAACTGTTAAACATGAGTTTTATTATCGGCCAAACAGCGGTCGTAAAACGATCAAAAGACTGGCTTTCTGGTTTTGACGAACGTCACCGGGAAGAAATTCGAACATGACCGCAAACGATAACAACAGTGGAGCTGAAATTTAAATGTCGTAAATTTTATGCGGTGGCCCGTCTCGTGTGGGCCGCCAGGAACTTTTCATTCTATTGTGTGAGAGCTGTGAAGAAAGCCCTTTAAGAGGTCCACTCCCTGAGATGCATCAGCGATACCCGAAAGTTGCAGACACACCTCTGAAGATCTCGCTTCATCACCATAATCATATCAATTTTTATTACAATGAACATTTTATCGTTCTCGAAAATTATTACAAATTCATGAATTTGTTCTCGAGTTTATCTTTCATTACTTTTTCTCGCGAAAAATCTTTTTCGGTGAATAACAATTAGTTTCGTTGAGTTCATTTTTCAGTAGGTTCAGAGTTCATATTTTCAGTTTATTGAATTTTAACTCTTATTAAAATGTAAGATGTAATTCTCATTTGTATAAATTAAAAAATTATTAAGAAAAGTTTTTGTATGTAATCTTCTGTTAAAAACAATATTTATTAAAACAAAATGATTAAATTTTCAATAATATGTTTCTGTCTAATAATAGAAATAAAAGCACATAACATGCATATAATAATGCGATGTTATTTTATTAATCGAAATCAAAAATATCATTTAGTCGCCGAATACACAAAAAAAGGATCATGCATCTAGATCACAATCGTCGCTTTGTTTTTTTATTTAATTTTTTCCTATCTTTTTTAATCCATGAATGGAACGATTGTCTCGCGGGGATACTGACTTAATAAATATATTATACGCGAAGAAGAGCGCTGCTGAGATACTATGGAAATTTATACGAAAGATGCAAACGACGATATCGAGCAGCGTGAAAGGAAGGATGTATAATGCTCCGTTTGTAGTTTATCCCGATGCATACGAGATTGCTCAAACAAATTTTTGATGTCTCTACTGTAAATTTATTTATCAGAGAAAATCGCGCAAAATATATCAAATCGATTTCCCCGAGATTTTCTTTCTATAATATATTTTTTTATATTTACCGATTCTCAAACTTGGAAAACAAAACAGATTATATATACATATATATATGTAAGAAAGATAAAATTATTAAAACATTTTTAGAAAATGATTATGTTATTAGTAATTAAAATTCTTAATATTTTACTATAAAAAAATATAATTATCTTTAATAAGCAAAAATATAAAATTAAATATAATGTATTTTTAGCCGATAAAATTTTGCTTAAAAATAATATAAATTATTTCCTGCATATAAAATTTTGTACACTCTTCTTATGATATTATTGAATGTTCTAAAAAGGCGTAATAAGTTTCCTCTCGCAATTTTTCGTGATACTTAAAAGAGTAATTCCACTGATGCAATTACCCGCACGAAAATTACTTGCCAATTCGTTGCGCATTCGCTTTCAATAATGAAGGCGCGCTACATCAAGAAACTTCGATTACTCGATCCTACGTTGTGCAGCAGGATGTAGCAGTTTTTAATCAATCATGATACGATGAAACAACAGGACTATCGATCGTACTTTTGTAAATTGATACAATCACCGATATTTTTACACAAGCTTATACGCAACAAAAGGCAAGTACATCATGTCATCAACAGAAAAATTAATTCCGAGTGAAAAATGTTAATTTATTTATTCATTTCTTACATCCGTGTGTATAAAGCTAGATTTTGAGACAGACAATTCTAATTTTTAATGTTGAAGAATCAGAAAAAAAAGATTGCAAGATACATAAATTATTTACGTGATTGTTTAATTTGTAGCTGTCAAACTTGTGGAAGTTAACTGCAATTATCTATTATGGCGCAAATAACAGCTACAATGAAACGAATAAATCTTCCTGCGCAAAACAAAACAATTCCCACGTAATTATCGCAAGAACTGTTTAATTCATCTAAGCGAACAATCACAATAAAGATAAACATTTTTATGCCAATCATCTAATCGTTATCGCGAAATTGTATTCTTGCACAATCATTAAAAATATGTAAACAAATTATTCAGCAATAAGATTCACGAAAAGCAATAAAAAATTTGTTGTCGATAAAAAAATTATTAATTCTCCATGTAAACATGCAATTGAAGAGGCGATAAAATTTTTTAACAGATGTTTACGGTTTAGGCACGTAATAAAATATTACAATTTAATCGAATCGCGTGTATATCGAACGAAAACGTGATCGAGAGTTATCGTTTCATTTCGATTGATGTTAACTACTGTGACGAATACGTCGTTCGTGAAAATCTAAATAACTCTACGTGAATTTCAATCAAAGCGCAAAAGCCTAGGAGTATCACGAAACGCGCATCGTAACATCTCGATTGGAAGAGAACGCATTCGAACGCAGTTCTACCTCTCTCGGCCGGGGGCTTGATTACTTAATTACCATACACCGACGATCCGTGTATTCAGCATCGAGAGAAGTGTCGGCAGTTAAAACGCCATCAGTTTTTATAAAGTTTACGCTGCCAAGGCTTGCAGCGCGCGACACCCAAGGTCGAAGATAAGTGACGGTAATGAGGAAGATTCACCGAACAGCTGCAGGTGCAGCGCCGATTACGCGGTGCCGATGCAAATCGAAATAAAGACGCGCGAATAAATGCGTTACCGCGAGAAATTGGCCGATTCGTATCGCGTCGTTGATCGTACGTATCCAAAAATGTCAAATAACGGCGTATACATCTTTTCTCTCGGTTAATTGTACTATATCACACGCATAATCAGCGTACAAGATCGGAGTAGAAGTAATTTAATTGAAAAGAGATGAAATGTGTATAGGATATATATTGGATTAGATTTATTTTAATAATAAGACGCGCACATTTTCTATATATATGTTATTAAACTGCCACTGTCAACTCACCTTCTTCGGTGCAGCAGCCCAAAAGTGTTACGACATTCGGATGACTGCCTAATTGTTTCATAATTTCAAGTTCTCGATCCAAATCTTCCTTTTCACGATCAGAAGCACCTTCTTTGATTGTTTTCACTGCCACTAGTCGAGTCGTACCCTGATGACCTGTCAAATCATCGGCTTCGGCTTTCCATACCTATCAATGCACACATATATGTATATATATATATATATATATATATATATATATATATATATATTTAATTACATATATCACGTTTCTATTAAATTAAAAATTTATATTTCTCTTAAAAAATTAAAATTTAATTTAAAGTTAATTTTTTAAAAATATTTTTATTCCAACTATATTTAACCTAAATAATATTAACGATCGAAATATTGTGAGAATACTGAATTATTATTTAATTGGATATATTATTCCTAAATTGAATATATTATTCCTAATATGCGCTTAATGTTATCAACGATATGACATTTATAAGCGCAACGCTGGAAAACATATGATCATCACGAAACGATCGTACTAATCATCGATCGGAGTTTTTATCGTTAATTTATTAGAAAAAAATCTATCACGATAAATTATATTCTCGAATTTTTATATAAGTGATTTTACATCAATACAATTATTGATATTACGCTGTCTGTTATCTTGCAAATACAGTGCAAAATCATATACGTTAAATGCCAATATTATAAATAAATGCCGATTTTGTCGAGATGAATAAATAAAATCACTTCATAAGATAAATGCCGAAGAAAGAACTTATCCCAAAGATTACATCCCGCGTGAATCTATCTCAGACATTTCATACAATGTAACCGACAGTCACAAATTACAGACTTATTTTTCATTTCATTATTTATTTTCGCGCTGGAATGTGCCGCAGAAAATAATATCTCCTCACCTGACCGAAGTTTCCTTGCCCGAGAACTGTCTGTAACCTAAGCTTATCTCTAGGAAACTCCCATCTAGATTCTTGAGACGATGGAGGCGGTGATTTCTCAGCTTCGTGACACTGTGCAAAGAATCGCGCGCATTAAGTTGCAGTTTAAAATTGTCCAAGAATAACTACTGATATGCATAAAAGTGAGTAATAGGCACTTCATTGGAAATTATGTACCATTGTCGTAAAATATTTCTACTATATTAAAAATTTCTATTTCTACTATATTAAAAAAGACTATCGGGATTTTCCATTGACGTATTTCTACGCATAGATTTTCCTACACACAATATGCATGAAATAAATATATTATGTAATATGCAAATATGACACTTGGATAAATTAAAAAATTTTAATTAGAATAAATCTTCAGATTAAAGGCAGAGTCTCAACTAATTAAATTATGTAAATAAAATTAATATCTAAACATTGACATGTAAAAAATTATTTACACCAATTTTTGAGGCGATTCCTCAAATGAATCATTTCACAGGTAATTAAATGCGTCAGGCAAGGTGTTAAATAAAATGATCGCTATCGTATTAAATATGCATTCGTTAATTTCTCTCTCACCAAGTGTTGTATCCTCGGTAGCTTCGTGATCGCCTTCTCGATGGAGGTCTTGAAGTCGCCGTTTTCGAGATTAAGAGCGTCCTTCCTGCAGCTTATCTCCGATGACGTGTCCGACTCTTCGAGCACCTGCATAAGCAAATCAACGTCAGTACAATACAACAACACATGCCATATGCAATGCGTCGCTAGCACGCGCGTGTATTACGCACGAGATGGGGGAGAGTCGCTCGCGTCGGTCGTCATTCTTGTTTAATTAGGAAACGCAATGCCGCATGGCAATGAAGATCGGCCAGAAAGATCAAGGCGTCTTGAGTGTATTTTCGCAAGTAATATTACTGCGATAAAATTAGATGTACCTATTAAGATTCTACGCGAAAATATGATGTTGACTTTTCTTACGACGGCGATAAGACACGCACAAAAATGATGCAAAAATAATCGCACCTATTTAATTATAATTATTATAAAAAACTTTCGAATTAATAGTGATGTTAAAATATTTGCTAATTGAAAATAGCACTGGAAAGAGGGAGAGAAAGAGAGAGAGAGAGAGAGAGAGAGAGAGAGAGAAAGTATTCTATGTGTATTATATAATATCATTTATTATTGATATTAATATGTATATTAATTTTCCTTTTAATTTACATAAAAACGTAAGAATAATTTATGCTTATGATGAGTAAAATTGTTGAAATTAGCCATACTTTCATAGAATTATGTTCAACATTTTTAAAATTACAGTGCTTGTTGTTTTAATTTTTATAAAACTTAATTTTTTAATTTGATAAAAATAAAGCTCTTCTTCTTAGATAATATACAGGGAATCTTAAGTCTATGTCTAATTTAATAACTATCTTTAATTTGATATTAAATTAAAAAATTTATTCAACCAGTTGGATAAATACTGATTTGTCAAAAACTAGAAATTAAGACTGCAATTAATTGAAATCAAGCATTTTGTCAAATTATTATTATCAATTTCGTGATACCATTCGTCGAAATTTATTTATCGAAATCAGATGGAATAAAACGTATGATTATATGAGCTTGTTTTATTACCGAGAAACAAAGTTACTTCGCACATAAAAAAGGCATTCAATGCGAAATGAAATAAAACCTCGTGTTATTTTTACTACTACACTTGCACGAGTATTATATTGTACATGTTCTACAAGGAAAGGCATCTATAACAAAGAACTCAATCATGTTGTATAAAAATAGCCAGAAAAGCGGATCGGTTTGTCTGTTTACGGTGAATTTTCAATTTCGCGAAGCACAGTACATTCAAGTTTAACATCAAACGAGTCTCTCAAAGTGGTCCTATTCATTTTGGCCCTTGTACTCATTCCTCGTCTCTCTTCTTTCGTTTACTCCTTTTTTTATCGTCTGTACAAGCCTTTGTACCGTCATTCAGATTTATTTTCACTGTCGGATTAAATTCAAATTTATGTTCGCGTTATTATATTTCGGGCATGAAAGCATTCCGCTTATGTCATTTCCGGGTATTTTGCGTTATATTCTTCTCGCTGTCATTTTGACACTAATAAATTTATAATACATGATATTCGTCGAATAAAAAAAATAAAATTTCTATTAAAAAATATAACAATGTATGTAAGAAATATGATAATTAAAATATGAAAATTGCATGATTGAGAAAAAATAGGATATGAATTTTAAGATATGAATTCATAAAATATCTTCGTGGAAGTGCGCCATCGATGTAATCAATTATAATTGCATTACACGAACATTCTCATTTTCCGACACAATGTGAGATTTGCGCGAGAAGATTTTCAACCTTCGATACAATCTTCTTGTTGGCTACCCGCGGAAAATTCCACGCAAAAATAATTATCGAAGACAATGGAGCCGAACAATTTTTGCATTATCCAACGGCGCATTCATTTTCTCATTACTATAACGCGCCATCCGATGATTCCTCGCTCGAAGACATCATAGGGAGATCCTCAAGATTTCTGCATACAATGAACTTGTAGTAATTGCCTTCCCTGGGGGGAAGGGGAGGTCGCTAACCATTTTGTGAATCATCGCGGAGCTAGCCTTCGCGAAGAAATTACTCGACGACCGCGTTTGATATTCATTCAGGGCGAAGTCACGGTCGTAGAATTTGCAAGAAAAAACTACATTAATCTTACATATAAATTCTTGAAAAGATATCTCTATCTTTTTATTATTCAGAGAAATCTAAATTTGCGATTCTCCATCATTTCGATCGTCTTTAATTAAAATAGTACGGTCCTTTGAGACGATACTCTCTAATAATTGCAAATTTATCGAAGCGCATTCCGGATCAGTTAATGACAACTAATGAACGTAATATATTGATTCAGCCATGATGCTGATGTCGCTAATTATTAAAATTTAGCGTAATTTTGCAAGATAACGAATAATAGACGTTAATATGCGATGACAAACGAGATCATATCGTGTAATAATACATAATTACTATAAATTATGATTTGTGTCTCAGCAAAACAATTAAAAGCAATTTGATTATTCGAGAATGAATCTGATGTCTAATTAGATTATATAAGAATAAAAATTATATTGTTTATGTTTTAAAGAGATTAGACAATTTTTTTCTTTCTGATTTGTATATTTATCTCATCGTTTTAATTTTATCTTTCATAAGATCGTTTTGTTTTCTTTTCCTATTTTTTTATTTCAAATTGTGATTTTTAGAAATTTACTTCTTTACTTTTTGATCAAATATACTATTACATTGGATACGAAACATAAAAAAATATAAAATGAGAAGTATTGAGATTAACATTATTTAAATAAACCTTAAGATAATGTCTACATTTTAAAAATAAGTACAATTTTGAAGGATGTTTTTCTATCAAAATATCAAATCTGATAAATTTTTTTCTCAATAAAATTTCTTTCCTTCAAGTATCCCCCTAATCTCGTATTCTTCGCAATGTCGTGTCTTTTCGTAATTTTCCGATTAACAGCAAAATTAAATTGCGTTCGTAATTTCTCGATCACTATGATAATTTCTACAAAGAGAAAAACGGAGATATCTAGCCAGCTTTCCAATCTAAACGCGCGCTCAAACCCTCGAAATCACTCACCTTACGATTCCTAAGTATCAGTCTTCTGAGAATGAGCCCGACACCGACAGCAATAGGAAAGACGACGAGGGTGGCCAGGATATAGCTGACTACGGCAACCGTCTCCTGAGTGGCGTTGCCATCATGACGCTTCGATATCACCTCACTGATGTTCATCGGTTCTCGCGGGCTCACCGAGATCGGTCCGCCAACTTCGAAGAACGTCCTGTTGAGCTCGGCGGGATGGTACATCGTGCCGTTGTATTCCGGCAGGATCGAGGGATGATAGGTGGGCCTATACCTCGTCCTATTGACCGCGGGCGTGAAAGATCCTCTAGACATCACTGGGGGGACAGTAGTGTTCTGAGAGCCGCGATTCTGCTCGTGTTTATCTTTCCGGAAGTTCGTCGTACTTGCAGTAGTACTTGCTTCTTTAGGTTTCGGAACTGGAATAGTGGTTGACGTACTTCCACTGATTTCCGTCGTGCTGGTGGCAATTGTAGTCGATTGACTCGTCTTCTCGGTCGTTGTCGTCGTCATTGTTGTCGTTGTTGTCATTGTCGTCTTCTCAGGACTCTTTTCATTTTGTGATTTGGAATCCACCGAAAGCATCACTCGCGTCTTTTCCGTACCACGTACGAATCCGTCCACCGATCTGCTGCCATTAAAAATGTCCGACGTGTTGTAAAGATGCATGATCGGCAACACGTCGTCCTTATCCTTCGATTTGTCCGATAAATTACGCGCTCGGACTTCCGGCGATCTCTCGCCTGATATGCGTTTTCCGTTGTCTGCAGGTATCGACGACGTAGATAGGACTTCCGATTTTTTATTTGGAGCGTCGTTCACAGGACGAGTGTCATTCTGAATCGGCGAAATCATTGTCGTGGTCGTGGTCGTCGATGTTGCGTCTTTGGCCCGGTATCTCTTCTGGATCTCCGAAGGATCCAGGTTGCTCGCTTCCGGCGCCTTCGTTCCGGCGTCTATGAAAGTTTTCGGATCCACCGTGGTCCTCTCTTCTTCTGTTAATATCCTAGGCGTGACCGGAAAAATCGGTGCAGCCGGCGTTGTTGACGTCGTTGTCGTCGTCGTCGTCGTTTTCGTGACCGTTTCACCTACTCGCTCGGTCACTATCATGGTCGTGACACTGTCCGTCGTTACGTTCGCATCACTGTCGCTACTCTTGTTCGACATCACGACATTCTGATAATCTTCACTCCCGATACTGTCTTCGTCGTTCACACTCGACGCGCTGACGACGTCTCCCGCAGGAACATCGGGCTCATTCGCTTCCGTCATCGCGATCGTCTCGACGAGAACGGATGGATCGGTCGTATTAATCGTCTCATCGGTTGCGCTCGAATTTCGACCCAAATTCCCCATGATGGTGGTCTCCGGCGAACTTTCGTCAGCTGGTACTCTGTTCACCCGGCCGCTGACACGCACAATTTTTCGAGGAGAATCCAGCACCTCATCCTCCGAATCGTTACCGCGACTCGTAATCGTTTCGTTCAGCGAGCGATCGTTCACCGTTAACTCCTCCGTGGTACTTTCGATTTTCTCTCGATTGTTGGAATTCGCCTTCTTGCTATCATTACTTGCGGAAGACAAGCCACTCTGAGAAGCTAATACCCTGCGACGCTTGCTCGTCGCCAGGGATGAAGACTCTTCGTTAATGGTCGATCTCTGATTCAGCACTGCGCTCGCACTTTTCCTCAAGAATCTCCGGTCATTAGCACCCTCTTGCTCATTGATGCGCGACTTAATCTGATTCCACCTGATCGATCCTCTGCTCTCAGGCGACTTTACGGGTCTCGTTGTCGAGATAACGCTATCGTTCCCGGCTGGATGCGGCAAGGACCAGATCGCTCGTTGATTGGACGCGCGTTGCTGCTGTTGCGGGACGACTTTCCTCGGTCGTTCCCCCACCAAGCCACCGACAACAACACTGGGCGACAATCCAGCAGCTGCGGCTAGCTCGATGGTCGCGCCGGTACTGAGTCCCGCCGGCGTTCGCGCCGGTTCTATACTGGCGGAGCCGACACGAGGAAGCAGAAGAGGAGAAGACGGCGGCAGCGGCAGTGGTGGCGGCAGTTGCTGCTGCTGCGACGGTCCATCGCTCGTTATCTCAGCACCGCTACCAGCAGGTCGACCAGCGGCACCACCACCTTCTTCCTCCCCTCCTCCTTCTCGCCTCTCCTCGCCGTTTAACCTGGGCCCGGTGTAGTTGCGCAACAATCGCGTCACGTTCGTTATCGTGTAAGCGTACACGTGTTGCTGCTGTGGCTGCTGCTGACTCGAGTCGACGACGACGACAGGTGCCGACGATTCCGTCGTCGACGATGGGATTGATTTCGGAGCAATATTTTCATTGACCGACACGCGAACCGGTCGATCCGCGGGGACCGGTTGCTGTTTAACGGTATTTCGCTGGGTCCGCTCGCTCTCGATCGCGAAACTCGAGAAGTTGTCATCCGGCACCACGATTCGCAGCGTCGACGATTCCGCTCTCGGCGACGATGTCTCGATATTATTGACGTCCCGAGATTTCGAGTTCGTTTTCGCCGGAGAAATTACTTTCTCGACGACATTCGTCAGTTTATCCTCCGATTTCTCGACGCTTCTCGTTTCCGTTTCGACTTTCTTTTCATTGTCGTCCTTCGCGAAATCGTTCAACATTTTCTCCAGATTCACGGCGATGATGCCATTCGCGGTAGCAATAGTGTCGTTCGAGAATTTCACATTGATTTCACTCTCCGCGACGTCGACTTCGGCGTCGTCATGACGTTGCCGCGGTATCTGGGTCGTCGTGTTCGCTTTGACCACGTGGGTAGCACCGTTTCCTCTCTCTCGCGAGATCCGAGCGCTCGCATGAACGGACAAATCACCACGACGAAGCTTACCGTCCACTGTATTCATCTCGCTTTTCGTATCCGATCCGCTAATTGTCGAACTTGAATTTGACTCGTTGCCCGAGATAACATTGGACGCAACATCCGACGTGGGCCTCGGCTTCCGGTAGTATAGTCCACTACCTGGACTTCTAAACGTGTTCTTGATTCGTGAAACCTGATTCTTCTCGACTGTCCGACGTTCCAGCGCGATGTTCATCTCATCGTTCATGATCTCCTCGATTGGCGTGGCTATTGTCGCACTGAATCTCTTGGAAGAGTATCTTCGACGCGATGAAATCGGTACCGAGGATGTCGTCTCTCCAGAATTACTACTGTTGCTGGTTACGTTCTGCGCGTCCGGTTGAAGTTTCTGTCCAAAGTACAAGAACTGCGACATATCTTCCATCGGAATGTTACTCTCTACCGGCCGGAAGTGGTTGTACAGAGATTCCGGCATTGACACGATATTCTTCTTACGCGTATCCGCATCTTCTGATTTTTTATTAGTGGATGTAGTCGATATGACGGTTGAAGACGACGTTGAAGAAGCGCTCTCGTACTTTTCGGTCGTTGACGTAGATGAAGTTTCGTCCTTTGACATCTTCGGCGTCTGCTGTTCGAGTTCTAGTTCCATCGAATCGAGATTGACCGCGGAAGTGGCTTCTTTCTCGCTACTTTTCCTCGATGATTGCGAAGTCTCCTCGTTTACCGATGCTTCCGTTTGCGCGCTAGTAACGTAAATGTTGTGCTTGGTTTCCTGGGTCTCGAAGATATCCGGAGGATCTTTCGAGGTGGTATTGGGTCGCGGGGTACGATTCAAAAAAGACCGAGATGGCTCATGCGAGCGTTGACTCAGGATCTGTCGTCTTCTGGCAGTCAGGATACTACGTAGTGTCTGCTCGCGTTTAGCTTTCGACGATAACAGCTCCGCATGTGAGGATGCGCGTCCTTGACGATGATCTGCAACCGATGCATCTGTGAACAAAAATAAAATTAATTGTTTGATATTTAATATTGAATAAAATAATAGATAAAAATATATCTAATAAATTATAACTGTGTATCATGAGAGAGTTAAGGTAATTTTTATTGCTTACAATTAGAATTAAAAATTCTGATTAAGGTGGAAAATAAAGTTCATGTACGTTGCTTATGATGATTATACTCCTTTATTACGCCACGTTATGTATTATCACATTGAAGAAATATACATCTTAACGAAGTGTAAATAACACGCGGTTTCTAAATGCTAATTGATCGCATGTGGAACAATAACACGGTGCGTAACAGAAGCGATTATAGTTCCTGTTCGTTCCGGTTCGGTTCCAGCGCGACGGAGAGGAGATTTTTCCGCGAGCGGATTAATATGAGAATCACCGATTCGCCGGTGCGTCTCGGTGAAAACCGGAAGAGCATCGACCGTCTACGCCTACGCGTTAGACGACGAATGTAATTAAGTTCTCAATTATATTCGCCGCGTGTGCGACGTGCGAAACGAAAGAAATTCTCGCCGAGAGGAGTTCTCTGAGTAACGGTAATTCTCAGGGTCGCGGATGGCCGAGTGGGTTTCGGGGTACCAGAGATTTGGTACCGTTATCGCTGTCTCGATTCTCCACATGCCTGCCCGCTAATAATCGACCATCGCGATCGTAAAAACGATTCGAATCGCAAATTTATTCAAATTCATTCAAAAAGATTTAAATATCGCGCTAATATTAGACAGTAAAAAAAAGTTAATTATAACATAAAATAAAGTTAATTATAACGTATAACAATAAAATGTTAAATATAACATTTTTCATATGTCCCAGAAAGTCCACTCTAAATTTTAAATAACTCATTATAATTGACATAATACTTTATATTTATTTTTGTTATTGTGACTTTAAGTGTAATGTAAAAATAACATACATATTAATTAAAAATTACATGAAAAAGATAATTACAATAACTCGTAAAAAATAATGAAGATATTAACATATAATAGTAATTATTTTGACTTAAATTATTTGTAATAGAAATATTTGATTTTAGTAAATTTGATTATTTTTGTATGACAAAGTTAATTCAAGATTATTTGAAGATTCACTTTAACTTTTCTTAGAATGTTAAACTGACTTTGAGACATGTTGAATGTTTAAAATAATTATGTTAACAATACTCAAAATAATATTCCGTTTCTAAGAGACATATATAAAGTGTTAAGTTATAAAGTTGACATAAATGTAACATATGAAAACGTTATAAAAATAATAACATATAAGTTGTATGTTAATTTTACATTAAAGTACTAATCAAAACGTGGTAACACAAGAAAATTTTAACATATGGACGCACAATTTTTTACTGTGTATATCATTCCTAATTGTATAGCTACAAGATTTCAGAATTAGAAGATTGAACGTTATATTTTCACTATCAAAATTTCTAATGATTTTAAAAGGAATGTTTTTTCCAACAACCTAATGTTCGTAAAAATTTTAAATAAGTAAAAAGTTTTAACGTATACAGTTATTCTACATCCGTAATATTCTTCTTTTTTTTCAGCTCTGAACGAACACTTCTCTCGTTCCTCTGTACTCGAGCGTTCCTCCTCGCTATTTTCCCATGGTACAATAACACCCTCCGACCAGCCTATCGTGCAGATAATGGGTACTGCTCGTTTCGCTTCGCTTCGAAAATTCGTTCGTATTGCAAATTGTCGAAGAACGCGTGCTATATAATCTCTACGTACAAGCATGTTCCACTGAAGGATCATTAAGAGCTCGTCCGCAAGAATCGAAGAGGATATGTACTGTACGTCACGAATTTATTCCCTCATTGTTCGTGTAAACGAATCCTCGATGAAACAATAAAAAATCAAGATCGATTACAGCTGCAACGAGCTGAATTTAAAACGACGTAGAAGTCTGATCTGTCAATCTAGCTCGTTAAAGAGATTGATATGGGCGGCGGCGCAGATTTCCAAATAATTCTAATGCCCCGTGAGAAGACCTCGTGAATTCAAGGATTACCATGATAAAGGATGAGAAGCAGGAGAATCGTGAATAAAAATCACAATTCTTACCTAACGCGCGACAATTTATTCTATGTTAAAAAATCTTCTATGGCTTCAAAATTATAAACTTGAAGCTGATGGGAGTGAGCTTTGCAAATATAAAGATTCTACAGAGATTTGCGAATATTTGTGATTATAGATCCATAATATAGAATCAAATATTGTGTCCCGAATGATATAATAGAAAAATTGTAAAGAAGATACTTTATGTATTGAAAACTAATGGGACATTTTTAATAAACAAGACGTCAGACGTTTTTATCGCGTAGACATTCATGTATCTTGTCATCATATATACGACAATCCAAGCTGCTCAGACTCCAAAACCAATTCAACATCTTAGAGATGCATTTCAACGAAGCAAATATTCCGGATGTGTAAATCGCGTCGTAGAACCCGCTCTGCAAGTGGAAACCCGTTTATAAATATACCCGAGTGTCCCGACAACTCGAGTTCTGAATAATGCATTCTCCCTCAATCTAATCTTAGCCGAAATCGCGGGGAATCGCCGGCTAACTTTGCGCGGAATGTTTGAAGGAGCCGCAAAATAAAGAATGTGCGAAAAGTAAACGAGAAAACAAAAAGCAGGATAACACACCTCGTATTATCTATCATCTATCGTAATCCGAGGATCTCGAACTATAATTCGAAAAATCAATTTTATCTCGGTCTTAATTTTCAATCAGCCAACAAATAGAACAACATAATTACATGTTACATCGACTTAAATTATTGAAGGACACACTGGAGACCGTCGTATTGTCTCGGAATTAAATTGGACGACCGCAAAAATTGCGACGTGCGTTGCAAGAGCGAGAGGAAGATGGACAGAGGGACAAGACGCGGTCGCGAGTCCGCGATTATCGTCGCGAACGTGACCGCATCGTAATATTTTATGTGGACACGTGTACGAGAAAGGAAGGTCAGTGTTGTTTCTGCTCTCGTTCCGCGGGTTCTCGGCCCCGTGTCTTGACGGCTGGCTGGCTGCCCGAGTGAACTACAATGCGGACGCGTGAGATGACTCCGAGATGTCACACAGAGGGGCCCGCGACAGCGGCTCCAGATTCGACGTGAGATGCGTGGATCCGGGTCCCGCGCGTGCCGTTTCACTGTCCCACTTTCGATACGAGTACAATTCGCTTATTTTTGTCTCTTCTTTTATTACCCGTTTTACGATTGTCACGATGCAATTTTAATAGCGTCCTACGTAATGTATCTCACGCCGACGCCATGGCCTTTGTTCGTAGAGAAGAGAATTATTGCGCGAATGCGATTCTGTAGAGTTATCAAATGTTAATATTCGTGTCGAAGTTCTTCGACTGCAAGAGCGATAAAATAATAGTAACTGCGATTAATGTATTTCTCAAACACGGTTTTTTATCTTGTTTTCATATTCATTTACTTCTATTCCATATTACTTCTTAGAACAGCATATTTTATGGCTAACATATCATAATGTACTGTATAGATTATTTCAATTTCCGTTCGAGAAATATTGTTTTTTGAGTCCAAATTTATTAAAAAATTGCGCTTCGCAGAGCGCGAATTTTCATGTAGACTATATATTTTACAGATGTTTGTTATTACTTCTCGGTTATTACATCTCTTGATTGACAAAAATTATCGTTACGCGCGCTGAACACGTAATAAAACTGACAATTCAGATCTTAATAAGCGCGTCGCTCAAAGATAAGGATACCCCGCGACGGAAACTATTGTAAATTTCCGGATTTAGTCTTGTTAACAGACGTTAGAGAATAAGATGGCAGTTGCGGCTTAATATAGAACTTATAATGACTTGTAATGAACTTATAATGAATTTATAATCTGTGTGACAGATATATGTCTCTATTATAGGCGCTGTATTACATAATATTAAGTATTGCGCGAAGATATTCCACAATATTGCAGTGCGACTCATCGCTTAAAATATGAAGCTGGTCAGCTAAACGTAATCGCAGGAAGAAATATTTCATGTCTATAGTCGCTTTTAATCTCTCTTCTCCTCTTCCCACATGTATGCATATATATGCATAATGCGATCCAAAATAATTGTGTCTATTCAGACATGAGAATCACATATCTTTGATAATTTTCCAAATAGTTACTTTTTATTCAATTTTAAAACACTATCTTTCTCTAAATTTCTCGTATAAAAATTCATCTGCAATTAATTAATAAAACTATCATATGTATATAATCTGATTAAAAATATTTTTAATTGTATCAAACTCGCAGTAAGCTCTTAATTTCATGATATTACTCATCAATTATACACTCTTAAATGAAAACTTTATCATTATATGTATTCAAAAACTCTCTAAAGAGAGTTTTATATTTTTTTTGTTTTAGATTTTTATTAAATCGATTAAATTTCCTCAATCTTAAAAAAAACTTCTTAATAAAAATATTTAACGCTTTTTTTTCTTATATTTATCTCTGCGCACAAAGAACTCATCTTAATGTTGTATTATTCCTCTTCGAGGAGCGCGATTCTCCAATGGTTTCTGAGCCCTCACAATTTATATGACCCGTTTCGAGGGGGTCGCTTTGTTGATCGGATTTTTAGGGTCCCGCTAGTCTCTCGTCGAAGATAACCCTCCGGCTTGCTTCATATCTGAGAATATTATCTGCGGCTTTATTCACGAAGCCTTGGTCCCTGCAATGATCTCGATGTCACGAAGACTCGCGCAATGGCTCAATATTACATTGCACTTGAGGGAGTATTTAATCCCTCTGGATTATATAAAAAAAAAAATCAACACACTATATTGGTATATTTTAATACCTTAATGTATTATCGATTGTGTAATAACAATATAATTAAAATCAACTTTCAACTATTAAATTATAATATAAAATGTAAATAATGTAAATTAAATTTAAATTGAAATAATCTAATTGCTCTATTGTTTTA